CTGCACAGAACCAACATCTACGGCCCCGCGATGGCAGCTGGCAACATGTACATGTATTATATGTATGTGTACACTGTGTGTACACACACTTCTCTATATATATATATATGTATATATATATATGTATATATATATATGTGTATATATAATATAAGTATTTGGGTGTGTACATATGTATATATATATATGTACATGTACATGTACATGTATATGTATATTGCATGTATGTATGTATGTATGTATGTATGTAGGCGTGTAAGTATGTATGCAACTATGTAAGAACGTAGGTATGTATAGATATAAATATATATATATACACACACATGTATTGTATAGTATGACTGTATCTGTGTATACAGAGCATACATATATGTATGTATCTACATACACACATACATGTGTACACATAGACAGATAAATAGATAGATAGATAAATAAGTAGGTAGGTAGGTCGGTAGGTAGGCAGGCAGGCAGGCAGGCAGGCAGGGGAGGTAGGTAGGTAGGTAGGTAGGTAGGTAGGTAGGTAGACAGATAAATAGATAAACAAACAGATACAGAGATAGATAGATAGATAGATAGATAGAGGCGCAAAACAGCAAACTCCAAAGACCACTTGAACTAACTGCTTGTGTCCTGCCCCACAACTGACTTACGAGGGTTAGCTGCTATGTAATGCAAGCAGATAACTAAAGCTTAAGTTTCTAGCACAACCGTTTACCACCACAGGTAGTTGAAACCTCCCGACTTACTAAATCATGCCTCCGCTTAGCCAGCACAGCCTCGCACTTACAGCACTTGGCCGACTTGTTAACTCCAGTTACACCACGTAGGTATGTACTTGCTTGTCGCAAGAACTCTCCTGTTCCTTTACTAATCACCGCGACCCTCCAAGTACAGCACTGTGCCGTCCTTCGTAGTCCCAGGGGCCTTGGACTGAGAACGAAGCGCACTGCATGGCAACAAAGATCGGCGAGGCGTTTTGGTGGCACTGGCACTTGGGAGGTTCTGCGCACATGCAGCCTTCTCTTCTTTGCATGTTTATCGCACCGTGCACACCAAAAGTCGAGGATTCCGGCAGCCAAGGGTGCAACTCCTGAATTCCCCAAAATCGATGCACTAAATCAAGTTTGCTGCACCACCCACACCGTGTCAGACACCTCCGAGCAAGCCTTAAACCACCCAAGAGCTCCGGTCGACTCACATCTGGATTTGTTTGAGGAGCTGTTGGATGGGAGGCAAGGTCTGGGCTTTGGGCTTCGGTGGCCATGAGTACTGAGATGAGCTCCTTGGTTGCTCTCAGTGTTGGCGGGTTGTCTGGAAGTGTCCTTACTGTCCCTGCGTTTCCGAAGTAAGACAGTAAGCCTTTAACCGCACAAGCGCTTCGGTCAGGGCCCCCAGACCCATGCAGTCAACTTTAAAACTGGATCGCCCTGCACCTCACTTCACCTCGAAACCTTCGTGCTGGCATCCTGCAACGAAGCTCTCTCAGCTTTATGTCTGCACATCGAGGGTGCTGCCGTTGCCGTCCCACCAACCTCTCAGGAAACTGTCGCGACACATGGAGACACGCTAGGCTCGGCCCAAGTAAAACAGGAGCACTGCACGTCCCCGGCCTGCACGACTCTTCTTCTTCTGCTTCTCCTTGAAAATCCATGAAGGCCCAAATCACAAGGAAAGAACCTAGCACTGCTGGAGACCTTCGGCACCTCCTTCTTTATTTCATCCTGCCAAGCGTTTGACGAAGGGACACCCCTCCGTGTGCAAGCGACATCCTGCCTCGACTTCCGAGACGGTGCGGACAGGTGCCGCAATTGGCTCCGTCGGCGGCGACTCCTTGAAAATCCATGCGAGGCCCAAATCGCAAGGAAAGAACCTAGCACTGCTGGAGACCTTCGGCATCTCTTTCTTTAATTCATCCTGCCAAGCGTTTGACGAAGGGACACCCCGCCGTGTGCAAGCGACATCCTGCCTCCACTTCCGAGACGGTGCGGACAGGTGCCGCAATTGGTGCCATCGGCGGCGACTCCTTGAAAATCCATGCGAGGCCCAAATCGCAAGGAAAGAACCTAGCACTGCTGCAGACCTTCGGCATCTCTTTCTTTAATTCATCCTGCCAAGCGTTTGACGAAGGGACACCCCTCCGTGTGCAAGCGAAATCCTGCCTCGACTTCCGAGACGGTGCGGACAGGTGCCGCAATTGGTGCCATCGGCGGCGAGGCCGGAGCAGAGGTCGGCGGGGAAGCAGGCACGCTCGCTGGCGCGACCGGAGGAGACACCGTTGCTGGCGCGACCGGCGGCGGTGGTGGCGGTGGTGGCATCACCGTCCACTCAGGCGGAGGTGTGCTTGGTGGTGGAGGCGCCATCGAAACAGCTGGTAGCGCAGACGCTGGGGCGGGTACGGGCACCGACACGGATGGTATCTGGAAGAATGCCGTGCTCTTGATGAGGTACCGCTTCCCGCAGTACTCCCTCGGCCGATTGAAAACAACTCAAAGACGGGAATGTCGTGGAGGGCAACCTTCAAATGCTGGGCATCCGACAATATGCGCGGAGCCGGAAGCGGCTCCCGAATGTGGATCGGGTTTTGCAGTCGGTTGCCTCACGAAGTCCAGCTTGCTTTGCTGGGGAAGGCTGCAGGTTGCAGTAGGGCCCCAACGCAGCATGCTGGCAAGGGCCGGCACCTGGCGCACGGGTGGGTCCGCATATCGGCAAGCTGCTTGCTGCCTGGCAATCCGCCTGGAGGCCAATCCTTAGACTGATCGACGATGCTGCGCACACAACTCAACTTCCGTGGTCCCCGGTGTGCTGGGTTTCAAGCATTTTGCAGATGTTATCTGCCAGAACATCTGCCTCTGCTAGAGCTGGCATCTGCAACCCGCCATGCCGCTCCGTTCACTCTCTCTCTCAGCTCAGGGCCACGTACGGCGCGTAACAGAGCACTTCCAGGAGCATGATACAGTCGTCTAGCGCCTGGCCCCGATGTTTCGGAACAGAGGACTCGTCCAAGCTTGGGTGTAACGGATAGAAAGTCGCTTGCCCCCGCGCCTGGTGTTGCTTGAAGTCTCGCTTCGAATAGCCAACATATTTTTGATGCCTGCGGAACCACCCAGGAGGTCATGCACGACAAACCCTTTCCGAGGCCCAGGCATGTTTGCCAGAGCCAGGCTCAAGTGCTGGCCAGCATACTCAGCCGCCACTGCCGGGTAGCAGTAGTGCTGTTTCACAGCGGCCACCGGGTCCGCGAACATGAGTCGCGGGCACCCTTACAAGCGAGCGAAGCCATCACGATGCCAGAAGCAATGGCGATGTGCCAAATTCGCGAAGCATGACGATACGCGCGACAAGGCCTGCGGAAGACTACTGCAGCCTTGCAGCGGGACAGATCCAGCCCTAACCGGGTGATCTCCTTCCTCATGATGTACTCGTCAAACGCTGCCCCGTTGTGCGCCTCGCGCCACGTGTGCTTCCGAGTCTGAGAGGGGAGTCATGTGCAGCCACTCTGGTGATGAGGCCACTGCGAGGAGCACGACGCTCCCGGTTCCGCCGGCGGCCCGCTGCAGGAAAGGGATCACCTCAGAAACAGCAACACACGCTTCGACCTTTTCCTCGCTCGCTTTAGCCCTTAAAAAGATATGCTGTTGCACATGTTTTGTTGCACTTTTTGGGGCGACCGCCTCGGCGTGCCAGACTTCTTGGAAGAATGGCATGCCCGGATCACAAATGATCTCCTTGTGGCCTTGCAGACATTGCTCAATACTCAATACTCGTGAGATCGAGCACACGGCTTGCCAAGGTATGAAAATGCAGGCTCGCTCAAGGCCGACGCCGTGGTCCTCTGCGAAGCAGCGCGCTGCGCGGGACCTGCGTCCACCGAAGGAGCACCAAAAACTGCCAGGCTTCCTATGCCTATGCGTTCCTCAACCGGCCTGATATCCTCCCAGTTGAACTGCGGCCGGCACCGCACGCCTCACCGCACCACAATTGTCATGTCGTCGTGCAAGGCAGCAGAACGTCTGAGGCCGCTGCAGAAGCTTTCGCCGGTGACTACCTCGGCAATCGCAAATGGACAGCGTGAAACCTGTGACCTTCCGCAGCGATGGATGACGACGAACTCGGGGCACAGTCGGCTTCGACAGCACGGTTCACCGTGACCTCTCCGCCTTTCGCCTTCCGTTCTTTGTTGGCATCAAGATACTCCCGGAGCTCCCGGAAGGGCAGTGACACGATCCCCCACGACTACTAAACTACTAAATGCAACACGCCCCCTCAAGCAGCGGAAACCTGCCGGGCTTGCGGCTCTACCGGCCAATCGTACCAGCTTCTCTACTTTGCTGCGGCAGCTCGAAGGGCCCCCGCGTCGATGGCGGCAAACTCAATGATCTGGCAGTGTTGTTTCCACTCCCACTGGTCCGTCGTCTCCACAATGCCTGCAAGCACGAACAGAGCCCGCCCGACTCGCAGCATCGCAGTTCAGAGGGTGCTGCCTTTTGCGAGGTATGAACCCCGCGGGTGGTCGTGTATGCACTCGAGGTCGAAAACGACGACCCCGGCGCGGAGCTGCTGCTGCACATCTCGTGCCATAGGGGCCTCCGGGTCCATTGCCAGAGCTGTCAAAGGATGTTAGGAAGCTTCAGCTGGCCTGTGCGGCTGCCCCTGCTGCAACATACGTATGAGAAAACCTCGACTGCTCAGCTGCGCTGTTGCCGCATCTTGGCCTGAGCACGACTGGTGCAGATAAGCAGCATGGGCGGGAATGGCGGCGCGAAGCGTTCCTGCAAGAGCGCCAGGCACCCGTTCCTTCCCCGCGCAGTGTTCCCCCTCTCCCGAAGATGCCTCGAGCCCACTCCAGTGAAACCTCAGGGCACACATCGCTTCGACCTGCGCACCGAGGACTTACCCATTCCCGAACAACTCAGTCAACCGGCATCTGCGGCTGCACGGGCAGCATCGCTTGCTGCATCGCGCTGCAGCTTCGAATCTCAGCTTTTACTTCCGCTTTGTCTTGTCACCGCCTGAGCCTGTCCCCCACGAATCCTTAGCTTCTCTTTTGGACTCCAAGCTGGTTAAGAGAGACCTGCTTGAGCCTAAGATGGCAATTGCCCGCTCTCGGCCGAGACCAAGCCGCCCAGCCGCAGCCGCAGCCCCGCTCTCCGCCGCTCTCCCCTCTCCGACCCTCTCCGCTCTTCCTCGCTTCCCCTCCTTTTTAGATCGGCTGCCCGGCCTTGGACCTGGGCGCCGCGTCTGAAACCGCTCCTGCTTTCTCGCTTCTTCGAAGCACGAAGAGGAATCCGACGTACGCGGCCTGCTGGGCTCTGCGGAGCTCTGCGGAGCTCTGCTGGGCTGCTTTTCGGCGAAGCGTCACCAAGGCAGGCGTCCAAGTCGCCAGCCGGCGGCGCTCGCGCTCAAACAGAGGGCTGCAGACTCATTTTCTTCACAAAGGCACCCCGACCGGGGGGAGGCCTCGATGCATGTCGAGAGTTTGCCAGCCCTTCTTCTGCAAGCAGCTGAGAGTTGGGCTTCTCATTCGTGTAATCCTCTTCGACAGCCTGCGTCGCGGTGCCAGAGCCATGCAGGGCGCTCCCTCTCGCGCTCCGCCGAGTGCATGACTCTTCTGGCAGAGTGATGGAGCTGACCTCATGTCCCCACAGGCGGTGCGACAAGGTGCGACTCGGCCAAAGAGCGTCAGCATGTCAAGCAGCGTCAGCAGCGAGCACTTGCACGATTGCAGAGGGCAGGACGGTGCCCACATTTTGTGCGCGGAGCGCAAGTTCGAAAACATCCCCTCGCTTAAGACCCAAGTAGCCTGCAGGACCAGGCTGACGGGTCAGTGCAGCGCAAAGGATTGTGGGATGAGGCTGCGCTGAGGCAGCGCTGAGGCTGTGCTGAGGCTGCGACTAGAGCTCTGGCCTTGGATTTGCGGGCGTCACGTCGCTTCAGGCGAGTTCAGAGCTGAAACGGCGACACGAGGTTAGTCTCCTGCTGAAGACAGAGAAGCGGTCCCTCTTCCATCCGGAGTAGGCCTCGTTTGACTTTCGTCGCCGGCGAAGGGCGATTCCCAGGCACTTAGTGCTCGACAGCCCAGCCAGTCCCAGGAGGGGCGTAGGCCACGCCGGCATCCCCGAAGAGGCATTTCCATCGCTGCTCCGCCTTGACAGCGACGCTGCACTCACAGCGCTGGGAGTGGGACGCTTCCAAAGGCCAAGTACCTGCTGCTTCAGCGTGATTGGGCTGCAGGGATCCTTCGCGGAAGCTGCAAGCAAAACTGCGCCAGCAGTGCAACAAAAGCTCTGCTCCTTCTTGTGGTGTCTCACGTCTGTTCTCCAGGACCGCGTCGCCGACAGAACCTTCAGATGCAATCCATTGTCGTTGACACGAGCCACCAACCTCGAGTTCCCACATCGTGCCCGTCCTCGTTTTGCTGCTGCAACACTGAATCTGCTGGCTCCTCGTCATCTAGGCCAAAAGTGCTCTTAAGCAGTCAACTTGTGCATTGCAGTGCCTCTCTTGACGTCAGGGCTTCTTTGGCATACTGATCGTTTTCCGAGGACTTGTCCACCGTGCGAGCCTCTGCCAAAAAGAGCAGCAGCCAATTGCAACAAACCTTCTCAGCAGTGCAATTGACCAAGACCCACGCTACCCATTCACGAACTTGCGATTGCTGTGCCTTTGCATATCGGAGATTTGTGACGTCTCTGCAAGCAGAGAACCCAAAACAAAGCGTAGCTCTGTTTGACTTCCCTTCCGCGTCCTCTTCCAGCTCTGCTGCATCACGTGCCTGCCACGACGCAGCCGCCAAGGCAGCAACATATGGTCGTGTCAGTTTTTTGCTGACTTTGAATCTGCAGCGCAGTCACTCCTACATATACAGTGTACGCAGATCCACTTTATTGCATCCTTCTTCTGTTCGTCCGAGTCTGCCCTCCCCGACAGCCGAAGTCCACCATGTAAGGTAATTGCGACTACCAAGACGAGTGGGACCACCGACGGAACGAGAATCTCTCCCTCCCTTCCTCCCTCCCTTTCCTCCTTCCCCCGCCCCTTCCTACCCTTCTTCAGCATCTCCGATTTCACAGCACGGCTTGCTGTGATCATTCCAGAACACAGACCATATTAGTCCCAGTTCCCATCGGCTCACAGCTCAGCTGCGCGCCTCCTGTGCCTGCAGTTGCTGCATGGCCTGAGCAAAGGTGCCTATAGACGGTGCCTGCTCGGCGTGGACGCAGACGTGCTCTTTTAACTGGCCTCCATGGAGGCCACCTCCCCGGATGCGGAGGATCGCGTCCCTTTAAGGTCAGCATCCGAGTCGTGCAAAGAGGCCTCGGAGAACCGAATACAGCCGGCTTTGAAGGCTCAGTGGAAGAGAGCGTCGAGACCCAAGCCCAATTCTTACGGAGGCCATCCTCCAGCTTGTCATATCTTGCCATCCTGACCCCCCCCAGCCGCCGCAAGTGGTGCGTCTCGACTCTTGGAACCGGGAGACCCGACATTGTCTTGTCCACTGGAGGAGGGTGCGGACAGGGGCACACCTCAGGACACATGCCCAACTTCATATACGCGAGAAGCAGATTTGCTGAGCAGCTGGCTACCATCTTCCCTGTTGAGCGGGAAAACCTGGAAAGTCCGCACTGCTCGCCGCGGTCTGTGTCGCTGGACGCTCGTTCGCACGGCCAGGTTCTCCCACCACAGACATTGCAAACATTGAGACTCTTGCCTCGAGCTGGAAGTGCTCCTCTGCCAGCTAGACGGCGAGTCCCTAAGCGCAGAAGGTCTGCGTCTTCTGAGACGAAGTTGATTCGCTGAAAAGCTTGAGAGCGGTCTTCCTGGAATTCGGGGCTGGGACATTGTGAAGTGCCCAGTGCCAGCCTCGGTCATGACCGCGAGCACGCGCTCAGCCAGAACGTTTTGGTCTACCACTGCTAGTGCTGCTAGTGCTAGTGGTAGACCTCTCCAAAAGAGTAATTGAGTGCCGAGGGGCATTGACTGTGTCGAAAGGGCCCAGCACTGGAGCCGAAACCACAAGGGTATCACGGTGCTGCAGTTGTGAACTGCTCTGAATTGGATGATGCTACACTTCCAGGCAGGCTCGTACAGCGCAACCCCCTAGTCCCAACCATTTTGCCTTCAAGTTGCTTTCCGCAGTGAATGCCGTCCACACACGACCCCAAGAAGTCCCACCCAAAACGCTCCCCGCGTGAACACCGCGCGAAATGGCATGATGGTAATCCATCTTTTGCATATGTGGATATGCACAGCAAACACGTCGAAACACATACCATCCTACATCAACCCACGAGACATGCACCACGCATGCCTTCTTTTCCTCGCAGGTATCTCCAGCCGCATCGAACAAACTGTCGGGGTGGCTCGTGCAAGAGCAGAGAAAGGTGCAGATCCTAGTTTAATCACGATGCTCATTCGAAGGGCTAGTCTTCGCTCATCTTGCTGATGACCTGCAACAAGCTTGCAGAAATGCCACAATGCCTTCCCGTAGCAGGAGACATGTTGTGACATTCAAGTAAGCTGGCGACGAAGACAATCCCGGCTGCCAGGAAAAAACTTCCCACGGAAAAGAAGATCATGAAGTTCTTTGCCTGCTCTTCCCTGCCAGAACTCATCAGGAAATGAAGCTGATCACAAGGACTCTGCATGCACACCGTGCGCTCGACAACGCTGTTGTTAAAAGCTTATCCTTCTCACGCCCAAATCCATGACCTATTTCCACACGCCGACCCCCTGCAACAAACGACCAAACAGCATATCTGCAGCAGTGAGATGTTGCCGCAGGTCTGTCCTGCGGATGGTCGTCTTTTGAGATGCACAGCACCACCTCAGACATGGGAGCATGGAGACTCTGCCTGATGTCGTAGCTGCCGTCGACGGCCCAAGCCTAAGTCGGTTGCTTGTCCACTGCACTGAGTCTTCAAGTCTTCGGCGTCTGGCTCTCTCTCGCTCTGTATATGAGTGTATGTGTATATATGTGGACATATATACACACCTACACATATAAATAGAAACTTAAAACAGGTTACACACATGCACATATGCCGGACATACATACATGCATGCATACATACATACATACATACATACTCACTCACTCACGCTCGCCGCAAGAAAGAAGTCTCGCGATGCGTTCGGCGGGCAAAGCCGGCATCTCTGTGGATGCGTGCCGTATTGGCACCCAAAGGACCTGCTGCCCTGCTTGACTGCTGTGCTGGCTCAACAAACAAAGAGAAGAGACACTGTCGAAAAAGCATCCGCCCGGCGATAAGCCCCTTAAGCAGCGGAAACCCGTAGCAGCAATCGAGCTAGAGCTTGAACTACTCATCGGATTGGCGGTCACTTATACATACATACATACATACATACATACATACATACATACATACAGCCCATCTTGTGTCTCTGGGAAATCGCGAGACTCGCACCGGCTCTGCCATCAGCGCGAAAGCGGCAGAGAGCGCCGCTTTCTCCACGGCTGGCTTCAGCTCTGCAGCCATCTGCCTGGCACGTTCTGAAAGAGAGGTGCTGAAAGAGAGGTGCAAAGTATAAACGTCGCAAATCAAAAACCGAAGAGCACTCTGTGACGCGTCTGACGACGTCTCACGTCTCGGCCTCGGAAGCTCCAGCTTCAGCTCCTCGGCCTCTGCCAAAAGCAGCACAGTCCGCCCTACCTGGCATCCGAATCCAACCTGGACGGTCGCCACATCTCTGGCTGGTGGCCTTCACAGAGTTGCCCTCCAGGACATTCGACGGAACGTGGAGCTGGGGCTGGGACTGTTGTGCCACACGCGCGGGAGCCGTCACGAAAGCAGGGCAGAGAGCCTCCGAACCACGCTTTTCGAGCTGTTGTACGGCAAGAATTTCAAAAGCTCCGCACCTTCACGGCTGCACCAACCAAGAGGACAAAGGCAAGGCCCAACATTGGCCTACGAGCCATGATCACTGATTTCCGATGTTCCAGACCCGTTCTCCTGGCTTGGGCTCAAACGCTGCAGGCAACCCAACAACAGCCAAAGATTTTCCAATCCTACTTTGGAGAATCGCGGTTTTGTTGGAAGATTCTAAGACTCTTATTCGCCGGTGTTTACGCGCGTA